AACTAATAGAGAAATTAAATGTAAATATAGATAATCTAATAATATAATATTACTAATACTATTTAATATCCTTAAGGACATAGATTTTGGAATGTCTCAAAAAATATTTTTTAAGAAAACTGAAACATATTTTTTAATTAAACAAATGATTCAGGTAATATATAATAACATCAAAGAATGTATCCAGAAATACTTGTCCTGCTTATTGCTTTATTCCTAACATGCAGCATCATATCTGGGACACAGTGGGTACAGGAGATAGAGTTTGGACTTAATATTTACTGAGGACCTTCCAGGTATCAAGTTTTTCACATCTTCTCAGAGTTAATCCTTTCAACAATCCTATGAAGTCTGTATTATTATTGTCCGCAATTTATATGTATGGGCGCTACTTCAAAGTAACCTACAGATGGCCCAGTTGAAAAAGGGAATGACTAGGATAATAGTCCCCAATCATTTAATTTTAACTCATCACACCCAAAATGAAGAGAGAGATGACTAAGTTAGCAGAAGGGGACATTCTGATCAGTGACTATCATGGGTTACATGGAGAAGCTTCTCATAACTAAGCATGACACTAAACTAACTCTTCTGATGTGCTTTGCATTTTGTGGTTCACAAAGCAACATGAACAAAGCGAGAGGGTGAACCAAATAGGTTGAGAACTTAAAAAATGAAAACAAAAAAGAACAGCACCACCTACCTCTAGCAACCATCGTAGGCGTCACTACACTGAATATATGCCAGCTAAATGCAGGAAAAACATTTTACCCTTTGAGTCTATTTTAAATGTTTCTGCTGACCCTGAGAAGAATAAAGAAGGAATTTACTTGCTTCAGTGTTCCTCAATTCAAATGCAAATAGGACTGATACTGCACTATATTTATAGTTAAAAACAATACTTTGTTTTCAGAAAGTATATCACACAATGTAACTGCAAATGAATCTCACAAAATGAGCCAACGTTAAATTCCAATGAAGAATTTCAGAAATGAAAAGCTGAATTGTAAAAATCACCACTGACTATGTTTGTCTCCTTTGTTTGTGATTCCTCCGAAGACTGAAAATACTCTCTTCCCTGCTGCCACCCTCATCTCCTGCCACTTTATCTTTTTCCACTGCTTCCCACCACTCATGCCACACTCTTCACTTGTTGACCTTTTCCTTCAGCACTCCATCCAAAGAGGGGAAGATGAGGAGGGAAGAGCAGGAGGAGCCAGAGAGGGAGTGAAAGTGTGTGTGTGTGTGTTTATGTGTGTGGACAAAACTTGGACATCTCCACAAGAAAATTCAGACAAAAAAAATAGTTCGGGACAAGGGTGGGTTTGTTTTTTAATGGGTAGACTGTGAGGAGATCCAGGAATAAGTGCTATATAAATAAAAGACGTGTAGAGTGGTATTGATGTGTTTAGTCAACAGAATTTTACTGAGTGCCTACTATGATGAGGTACTATGCTAAGTAGTGGGTGGGTGGGAAAGTGAAAGGAAAGTTGGTTCATAGGTTGATAGGAAATGCCAATTCATTAGGTGATTTTTTGTTTTGAAACCTAACCTCATAGTTAAATAAATCCAAAGACTTAACAAGTATTTACTTAGTTCTGTTTACTATTTATCCCCTTTTTATTTTGCTAAGCTTCCTGGCACTATATTCCAAATAAATTATTATTTCTTACGTCTGATATTTCTTTGCAGGATTTTCATCCTTAGCTTGTATATTTTTTAATGCTGGCACTCCCTATGGCTCTGGCCTACTCTTCCATTTCTATTCATTCTACATATTTCCCAAGAAAATTCTCCTTTGCCTCTGTAACTTTTCATAAAATCAATCTGATATGGACATCAGATCTGATGACATAAAATTTTTCTTGCCCAGTACAAACCATTTTTGAACCCTCTCATAACACTGTGACCTGGACATTTAAAAAACAATTAATTGAACTAATCAGTTTCCTCTATCTTATTGACTAGCACATCCATGAAAAAACTCAAGAGTCAGTCTTAACTCCTTTCTTCCTCCCTTCCTTCTTATTTCATAAAAACCACCCTCAAAGTCACAGACTTTTGTATCTGAAAATGTATTAAAAAGTTATTCACTATGCTTCAACCTGTCTGTTATCAAACATCTCAAGTCAATATCATCTCTTGCCAAGATTTTCACAAAGTATCTGTAAGTGGTGTCCCTGATTTCTTGCTCCTGTTTATTTTTAATGTTACAGCTAGTTATTCACTCAAAATGCAAATTTTATCACATAGTTCTTGTTTTAGACTCTTCACTGGTTTGCATACACTAAATCCAAACTACTTTTATGGCACCCTGTAGAGCTGTGCTTACTTGCAAGCTCCTATTTGCCTCTCTTCTCTCAAATGTTACATTCTACCACAGTGAACTCTTTGAGTTCCTCGAAACACCAGTGTGTTCTCCTTTACCATATGGCCTCCCATATCCTTCCCAAAACTGTTATCTTTAACCCAAACTCGCCTATCAAAATCTGGTTTTCATTTTAACTGTTGGCTTTATTTGGAAATCTGACTTGGTTTGTCCCTGAATCTTGTCTTCTGTTACCTAACTTCAACTTACTTAACCCCTTTAACTTCCATCAAACCCGTACCTACTTTCAACAATAAGGACCGGGAATCTTATTGTACATACATTGCTTCTAATATCATTTTTCAATATTTATTGAGAAAACTTATTTAATAGTCTTCTCCATTAGCGCAGGTATGGAAGTTAAGAAGATACCTAGCACACATGGCTGGCTTTCTAGCCTAGGCTTCTAGTACAGTGTCATGCACAGAACTGGTGCTCAATAAATAATTGTTTCAATGAATAAATAGAATACCTTTTATTTACAGAAAACTTGGAAGGGTTTAGAGATCAGTAAAACACCCTCCCCACCTTTAAGGAAAATAGTATTAAATGCATAATTATAAGATGCTAATGAGTAAATAAAATTGACTCCAATTTGGATATGGGAGGATTTGCTAACATTGTAAATTGCAATAAATATTTTGTTCTCTCTCCTAGGACAATCTAATTCATACTAAACACTTCTGGAAGACAGTTGTGTGATCTTATATTACAGATGAAAACAAAGTTAATTGTGTTAGCCAAGGTTACCCAGTGAATCATAATCTGAGCCAGGCTTAAAAACTCAAAGTTGTTAACCTCCACTCTTTATATTGCTATTATTTTTCAAAACTACTTTGTCTTTTCCCCTCTAAAATACTTCCATGTGCTTTAAGGACTTAAAACTATATTTTATAATAGTCTATATAAACTATCTCAGTGGTATGTATATTTCGATACAGAAACCCTAGAACATAACCACTTTTCAAAGAATTTTCATCTGGCCCTTAATATTAAAGTTTTGTGTGATATGCCTCTGTACTCTTGCATACTCTGAGAGTGGTTAGTTCCTCTTTTGTTCTAAATAGACTGTTAGCAGCAAGCACTAATTGCCACCACAGAATGCCAATATTGAATTCTGCTGTAGGCATCATATCGCATACTCAACATCTATAAATGTCCATAGCTTGTTGGCTGGTGCACTCTATTGCATTTGATGGACATTTTGGTAGAAAATGCTGCCAGTACTTAATAAACACTTGAGATGCAACATAGGCTATTAAATATAATGAGATTTTACTCATTCCAACATTCATATTGTGAGAAACATAAAATCAAAATTATTTGTGCTGCCATTTCAAAAGGCCAGATACATACTCAATAAATATATTTATATTTGATATTCTGGGGCCAAAGGCAAACAGAATACATAACCAAAATGCTTAAAAAGACTTTATTATCTGCTCAATCTATAAACTTAGTGCCTTAGAGCCTTGTTTTCTATGAGCATAACAAACACTGATGATATTAATTTCAAGATGAGTAAGGCAAGTATACAGTTGAGGTTTTTTCCTAACCCCATACTGGAACTGCCAGTGCTTTCTTTGTATAGTGAAACATAGTATAAAATGTCAAAAGAATTTTATCAGTCCAAATCTATAATTAAAATGCCACTTCTGTTGAGTATATAAAACTATGCTTTCTAAGTACTTTCAGATCAATTATACAATTTTCTCCTAATTCATATAACATCAAAGAGAGAAATTTCCAATCATAGAGTATTTCCCCTGCTCTTTGGGTTTTACTTGACCCATCCTTCATTTTCCAGAAGCAAATATCTTTAGCCCTAAAGCATTCAAGCCAGCTCATTATATCACCCTCCAGTTCTGCCTTGCAGCTCTGGGCCAAAGAAGAACTTTAAATGTCCAAAGTATTTACTGTTTTTAATCCCTAATGTGACATTAAGTGAATTGGTTCTGTCATGTGAGTATAACTGATTATGTTTTCCCTAATACAAATAGACACTTGAGTTACCCATTTGTAAGTTAATGCAATGTAAAAGCAAGAGAGAACTTCTGTCAGATGCCAACTTAACATTAATTGTACATTCCGTGTTAATGTCAAAATTCTAGCAGAAACTTTCAAACACAATTTTCCAGTTCAAGAAATATACAAAAACCAACTCATAGTAAATTGAGAGACTATACAAGGTAACTCTTAAGCATCAGATATTTGTTATCATTCTTGGTTGGTCATTGGTAGATGGTATTCGTGGAATCGGAACATTTTTGATTCTCATTTGAAAATGTAGATTCCATGAATTCATCCTCATTCATCAGTCCTGTGTTGGGAGCAGTGGCAGTGAGAGAAAGTTGCCTTCATTTGCTAATGCTGCAGTGTGTATTAAAATGTCATAAGGAATAAAGGTTCCTTTCAAGAGTCATATGGGGGCTGAGTTAGCTTTTTGCTTTAATCGGTAGGAGTTCCTAAAGACTGCTAAATGAAGCAGGTTCCAACTTGAGTTTTAACATCCTGACACTGTATTTGTCACCTTGGGTGTTGTAGTAGTGTAAATGTGAAAATAATAGAGGATAAAAGAGGAATCAAAAACATGTTTTTATCCTGAGGATCCATGCCCAATTTGAGAATTTACCTGCAGAGATTCCATTTCTTCATTTTTCCTTTGGGTCTCTTGCAGCAGATCTACAATAAAAAAAAAAAGGAGGAAACATCCATCAAAATACAGTGTGAAAAATGCATGAAATGTAATTCAGCCAATGGCTTCTATAAACATGTCTAGGGAGAAAATTTGTATTAGTGTGAGACGCAAATGCAAAGGAAAGACCCACTGATCTCTCCTGATGAGATGAGGAAGAACTCTGGATCCTGCCAAACCTAAATGAGCTGAGAAGCCTTGGGAGATTCCAGCTTTACTTGATCTACCACAGGATGATATCAAATCAGTCACGACTATAAAATCATAGCCATATTTTAGGAATTGTGTACAATGCTTACAGAGCTCAAAAGTAACATCAAATTTTATTTTAAAATAAAGGGAAGCATTTTCTTCTTAAAGAAAAATTAGAAACATACCATTTGCTCTTAAAACAAGCTTCCAAGCCAAGTTCCACCCCCAGAGTCAGTTTTTATAAGCAAATTAAAACACCTTGGAATAATAGGTATTATTAATGGAAGTAGATCACCACTTCAACTATAAAGTCATACTAATTATCATTTCACACTGAGAGGGTGGGATGCATTGAAACTACAGCTAACCATGAGTTTGGCACCATTTCAGAGAAATTAGTGGCTGGAAGGGAAGGTAGTCAACTGCAAAGAATTCTATCTCAGTGCAAGCAATACAGCCAAGGTGTCTCGGTGCCCTACATTAATTTATGAACTTGCTATAAAGGGAAATATATTTGGCAAGCAGAATTTTCTGCCTGCAGCTATACCACCTTGTCCTATGATCTTATTAGATCTCACAAACCTAAACAAGGCTGGGCTGAGTCAGAACTTGGATGAAAACTGGCAAGAAACACCTACAGCAGTGCACATTAATATTAGTATTTGCCTTTTACTCTGTGATTGATATAGCTTACCAAGAGGCTATGCTACATAAAAGGAAAACACAACTTACAGAAATTCAATATACATCCCAGAAAGGCAAATGTAAATGTTTTTAGCAAGTGCTACACTAGATACAGCAGGAAGCAGTAATAAAATGGTTGGCAAAGTCATGCTAGTCTTACGTCATTGCTGGGCAGGCAATATACTGAAGCTTTCAGAGGTCTAGCTGATGATACAATGGATAACAATCACTCCTTGAGACTGAACAACTCAGAAGGGAACAATGGAGAGTGGTTAGTGGTCCCCTTACGACATAATATTCTGAAATTAAGGAAGAGAGGTGGTTTTTATTCTACATCCTTTAGAAGAACTGATTTTACCTCAAACTTTCCATTATCAGTTAAATCAACAAAGTTAGAGGAACATGCAAATGATTTAGGGTGTATTTACGATGTTTTTGGTTGGCATATCAGATTCTTTAGCTAAAAGTATACAAAAAAGTTGGTTAAGTGTCCTAGTTCAGTCCTGTTCCTACATCCTTATTCATTTGCATTTTAATACTATAGCTATTTCTAATAAGAGGTCATACATCATTTTTCTCTGCTTCTTATATCAGTGTCTTGATTTGGCTAACAGAACATAACAGAGGCAACCTGGTGCCACTCTGCATTGAGGCTTCTAAGCCTTGTGCATTTTTACCTTTTCTCTTGGAACCCTGTCACCACCATATGAACAAACCCAAGCAAATATTTTAAATGGCAAGAAACGCATGACCCAGGATCATTTTCCCCACAACTACTCTGCATATTCTTCTATCTGGCACCCAGCAAACACTCAGAAGCATAACTGCCCATCTGACCTGAAGATGACTATAAAATGACTCAAATGGGAAACCAATCAAGACAAACCGACTGTCCAGCTGAGTCCAATGCCAACTCCAACGAACAAAACTCCAACGAACAAAATCATGAGCTAAATAAATGGAACTTGGGATGGTTGAGTACCAAGCACTTGCTAACTGAGAGTAATTTCTGAGAATAAAATTTAAATTTATTAAAATGACACAGGAGTAACTAAGAGAAAAATAAGGAAAGAGAATCTAGTCTCTGAAGGGAATAACCATTAGAGCAGGTATGGATAGATAGGGATATATGTGGCATCAACTTATAGACATTTTATTCTGTGTTCTTGGAATCTTTGTGTCCCTTCAATAAAGAAAAGAATTCTACAAAGAGAATACCTCGTGTACCATGCTTAGATTTCTCACCTACTACTTAACTAAGACAAAGTATGGAGTACTTTCATTAATAATCCTCAAAAGATTGGCGTAAGAACAGAAAGGATAATTTCCAAATGCTAAATTAGGATACTGTTAGAGAAGAAGGAAGGATATATACCAGAAAAATGAAAACAACCGATGTATACTCTAACTGGTTTCAGTAAATTGTGCATTTAGACAAACTCTGCTTAATATTCATAAGATGTAAAATCATTCCTTTTTTCCGTTGAGTACTTGTCTATTTTGCTCTACTACTTGTGGACATTAGGAGGTTCTCAGAGATGAATCCTTTGTAAGAAACTGCATTGTTTAATAGTGCAGAACTGCAGTGACACATACTGAGATCCGTCAACCATAAAGAAAACTAATCTAATTTCTCCAGAGTCAATAAGATTATAGTAAACATGATAAATAATTGGTATTGGATCTCTTATGTAGCAAAACACACTTCATCTGATAAAATGTAAAGAAATAAGGCAGATCTATAAAAACCTCATAGAATTAGAACAATTTAAAACAAAGTTCTCATTAGGAACAAAGGTGAAACAAAGATCTTCCATGACAAATAGAAACTGTGAGAATTTGTCACCACCTGTCCAGCCCTGCAGAAGATGCTTAAAGATGTGCTGCATATAGAAACACAGAAATATGGTCAAAGCTACAGAAGAAGGTAAAGAAAGGAAATCTCCAAGGAAAAGTACAAAGGAAATCCAAAGTAAAAAATAGGAATATTTATGGAAAAATGGCAGGTCAAAGTCATAACTTATCAACAGTGACCTTGAAAGTAAATGGCCTCAACTCTCCAGTTAAAAGACTCAGACTGGCAGAGTGGATTAAAAAACAAAACCTATTTATTTGCTGCCTACAAGAAGTACATCTCCCCAACAAAGATGCATGCAGACTCAAAGGAAAAGGATGGAAAAAGATAATCCATGCTAACAGAAACCCAAAAAAAAGCTGGTATAGCCATCCTATTATCAGACAAAATACATTTTAACACAAAAACTGTTAAAAGAGACAAAGAAGGGCACTACGTAATGATTAAGGGATCAATTTAGCAGGGAGATTTAACTGTTATAAATGTATATGCACCTAATTACAGGGCACCTTGCTATTTAAAAGAAATATAAAGGGATCTAAGGGGAGACATAGACTCCAATACAATACTAATGGAGGATTTCAATACTCCACTTTCAGCAACTGACAGATAAACCAGACAGAAAATCAGCATGGATACAGCAGAGTTAATTGACACTATAGACCAAATAACCTACAGAACTTTTCATTCTGCAGTTGCAAAATACACATTGTTCTCACCAGTGCATGGAACCTGACTAGGGTTGACTACATGCAGGCAATAAAACAATTCTCAGCAAATACAAAAACAATCAAAATCATACCACATATCCTCTCAGGCCACAATGCAATGAAGCTGGAAATCAACAACTCAGGAATTTCTGGAAGGTACGCAAACACATCAAGACTGAACAACATGCTCCTGAATGAACAGGAGAAATCACTGAAGAAATCATAGAAGAGAAATCAAAAAACTTCAGGAAACAAATGAAAATGACAATATAACACATCAAAACTTATGGGATAAAGTAAAAGCAGTGTTAAGAGGAAAGTTTATAGCAATTGGTGCCTACATCAAGAAATTAGAAAGACACCAAATCAATGAGCTATCTATGCATCTCAAGGATCTAGAAAAACAACAGCAAACCAAACCCAAAACTAGTAGGAGAAAAAAATAATTAAAATTAGAGAAGAAATCAACAAAATTGAAACAAAAATACAAAAGATCAACAAAATGAAAATCTGTTTTTTTGAAAAAAAAAATAAACAAAATTGAAACAAAAATACAAAAGATCATCAAAACACAATTAAGACATGGGCAAAGGACTTAAAGAGACATTTTTCAAAAGAGAAAATCCAAATGGCCAACAGACACTTAAAATTTCTCAGGATCACTAGCCATCAGGAAAATGCAAATCAAGACCCGAGGTTTCACCTCACCCCAGTTAGAATAGCCTTCCTACAGAAATCAACAAACATCAAATGCTGGCCAGGATGTGGGGAAAAAGGTACCCTAAGCCACTGTTGGTGGGAATGTTCATTGGTAATGGAAGACTGTATGTAGATACCTCAGAAATCTGAATGTAGGACTTACCATATGACCTAGCTATCCCACTTCTTGGAATTTACTCTAGGGAAATGAAATCAGCCTATGAAAGATTTATCTGCACCTTCATGTATACTGCAGTCAATTCACAATAGGTAGGAATGAAATCAACCCATATTCCCATCAAGTGATGACTGGATAAAGAAATTATGGGATCTGTACACTATGGAATACTATACAGTGGAAATAAAATAAAGTCTGGTCATTTACAACAAAATATATGAATCTGGAAAACATCAGACTTAGTGAAATAAGCCAGTCCCAAATGGATAAATATCATATGTTCTCTCTGACCTGTGATAACAAATAGAGCCCCTAATGGGCAATCTGTAGAAGTGAAATTGATACTTTGAGAAGCAATGAATTGTACAGCCCTTGTCTTGACTGTTGAGTACCAGTTTTTATTAATAGGTATACTATCTGTTGAACTCTACTTACCATAGAATTAAACATGTGTATAAAGTCAATTGAAAATAGATCTCAGTAAAAAATAAGAGAGGGAGGAGAAAGAGGGGTGAGAATATGGGTGGGAAGTCAGGCACACTGGGAAGAATCACTATGTTCTTAAAGTTGTAATTATGAAGTGTATGAAGTTTGGAACTGTAAAGCTGTAATAGTTCTGCATACATTCCTACGGACTTGGTTTTAAGTGTACAGTTTAAAAACTTGCCATGGGACCCCAAATCCCCTTAGGCTGGGTGATAAAAATACAACGTTAAGTGTTAAAATGATCATATGGATTGGATTGAATGTCTGGTAGTAATAATAGTTAGAATTAAAAAGGAGTGAATGCTCCAACATGGGAAGCAATTCACACAGCAGACTCATAGAATGACAAGCACTTTCAATAGCACTCTGACCTCAGAATCACCCCTGAAGGAATTCTGATCTGGCTGAAAAATCCCACAAGAGCATTTCAGACATGGAAAGCCAATACACTATGGCAAAAAATATTCTATATGAAGGACCTCAGTGGGTGAGACCACAGTGTAAAGTGGCCATCAAAGAAGG